TATTATTGCTTTGCTTCAGCTGCAATGGAGACCTCTGGTTTAATTTCAGAGAGAAAACTGCTTTGGTTGCCTTGACAGATAACATACAGTAGGAAATAGATCAGAGAAGTAAATTTTTATTGGCTCTCTTGCACTTTGTAGTGGTTTTTTGACAAAACATTTTTCATGATTTTTGCATGTTTTACTATGTGTGTGCTTTCTCTCTGCATGTGAAAAAGCATAGATAGAGCAATAGAAGGGAGTGGTACCAATTTTTGGACTGATCACAGCCCTACAGCTGTCAATCATGTCTACACAGCAGTCATTTTCTGACATTTCTTCAAAGATTCCCACTGTGTTCACAGGCCAAAAAAGTATGAGAACCCTAATAAAGGCAAAGGTTCCAAAGTGCAGCCTCTCAGCACAATTTCTGGAACTGGTCCATCAGCTACAAATCAGCACACCACAATGCTGTACCACCTAACAACAATCCAGCTAAATAAAGCAGAAATCTACAATGTCTGATGCTTTTGAAAGCCACCAAGAGATCCAGTTCAACAGAGATTGGTGAGAACATTCGGGCATTCCCTAGTAACAACCACACCTGTCAGCTGACCCTTCCATTCCAGAAATAGCACTTTATTAATTTTGACCTTAATAAAAAAGAACCAACAGAGATGGCTAGTTGCTGAACTGTAGACCTATCAAACAACCAAACTGATTTAGAAGAAAGGGCCAGGATCCTAAACGAAATGAGCCTACTTAAGCTGTATTATCCAAGACTATTGGGTCACCAGCTTTCACTCAAGAACCTTTTGCATGAAAAGGATGTTGGAAAATGGCAATAAGGTTATTCTGAACGCAGAGGTATCAGGGGAAAATGTTCAGCAGTGGTCTTACAGAAGCCTCCCCCCCCCATACAGCAGGCAATTTGTTCTCCTTCAGGGACCCATTTTTCACCTTCTTTCTCCATTTAAGCAACTCACTTCTGGCAACATGAAGTGCCCAGGATGGACCCAGGGTGAGCTACATGTGAGGAGCCTCAGACAGCCAGTGGTTTGGTTCACCACCTCTCTCAGGCTGAACAAATGAAAATGCCTCCTTCACAACAGCATTAACACTATATCAGGCACGTCAGAGAAAGAACCAGTTACCTAAAGTACAAGTCTGTATGTGTACAAGCTATTTGATCTGCAAAATGCTACTCAAATTGGTCGCAACTTGTTATTGCTTCTAGATCCACAAAACGTGGAGGTGATCAAACTTTTCAAAGTGGAAAAGAACAGTTGAGAGAAACTGTATCTTCCGTCCACGTGAGAGATGGGCATAAACCTTGGTTCAGACATTCATGCCAGTTTGTACAGGCGGCACCACAGGTGCTGCTCATTTCCTTCAACCACCTCCCTGGCCAATGACCCACTCACAAGTCGGAGCACCTCCTCTCCTCCTCCTTCTCCTTTTTGGCATTCAACCAGCACCCAACAGGAGCACAAGTCCACCTGTCCTGCCTCCTTGTCTGAGTGGGCAATCAGCCAAGGAGGCAGGGCAGGGAAACCCATGCATAACTCAAAGAAAATAATTTTAGATTTGTTTTTTTTATTAATGCTATTTTTCTTTCTCCACCCTTCATCCTCTTAAGGACAAATTTTCTTCCATGCAACTAGTTGTCCAAGTGCAAAGACTTTCATTTGATTATTTGGTGTGGAGACACTGAGACCTATGAGTCTCTAACTGCAGCCCAAGTGAGACTTGTACAGAAACAAATTTCAAGTCCATCTGTTCTTTGTGTCACCTACAGTGTCACAACTTTCTATCAAAGGGCAGCTTAACTTATCAGTGGATAAGATGCTGGTTCTCTGCCACTGAAAACGGGCTCTGCAAGTATATGGTCACTGTGCCAACTCCTCCAAAGCAAATTCCTCTCAAATCTACTTTGCTGACACGGACACAGAAACAGGGAATGCAAAAATGCACATTGCAGCATAGCAATACTGGCAGTACACATAAGAACAATGCAGCCACAATGCATGGCAGGAGAGCAAGTGCTAACTTCATATAAGAGTCAAGACAGCCATGAATATGTCTTTCCTTCAACGGACAGCCACACGTTACCCATCCATTCTAGAAAAGCATGCTTATATTGGCCAGTTTTTACTCAGTGGCTATTTTAATGGTCGACTTAGTAACAGGAATCAATATGAATGGAGTATCAAAATGTGAATGGAGGAATGCCATAGAAAAATGTTTTCCAGTATGTGATACTTGGCCACAAATGCATCAGCAGCACTCACTCAGATAGGCCAAAGCATTTTTTTAAAATCAAAAGCCTTTCATCTTCATTCTGCTGGCTTTGTTCACTGTTAATGGCACACTGACATTAGCATTCAGCACTTTCAATGAGCTTAACACATCGTCAGACGTTCCATAGATACTTCCAGGAGTACCGCTACCATATTAATCCACTGAGAGCATGTTTGTCCATTATGAGAATCAGTCCATGCTAGTATTGGGAGGGCTGATGTAAAAAGTGTCAGTTGCTAGAAATTTTAACTACTAAACAAATGGCAAGCCACTATAACTCAGCTTCAGGCTACTCCCACAATGTTAACAGGCTGTTGTTCAGATGTATGCAAAGTGACTTCAATATCCTGTTCTTAAATCAGGAATTGGAAGAAGGAATACTCTTACATACTGATCAACCCGCTGCTCTAGTTAATTTACAAAGGACCTTGTCATGCCTCCTGACTACTCTCATTATTCTTGCAGAGACTGCTGCCCCCAGCCTGATTCAAGAAAGACACATATACATCCTTAAGCCAAAATGCATTCCTGGGAATGCTGAGCACCGATTAGTGGTGGCTTAGCTGTTAAAGTAGCCAGAGTGTTACTTTAATATCCTTGCATTGTAAATTTAAAACATATCACTGGACTACAGAAATTCTAATTATTGCAGATAAGAAGAGACCACACAGTCCTGAAGCCAGCCCACACACTGTTCTTGAGTGTTAAAGAAACACTAAGAATTTTCACAAGGTAGTCATGTTGATCTATTACAGGGAAATTACAAAAAAAACCATGTGGCATTTTTAAAAGACTAACATATTTATTAACCAGAATCCTATTGGAGTTAATCTAGGTTTGTGTAAGTTGCCACTGCTAACTGGGGAGGTGCCAGGATGCATTTTGGTGTGTGACCAGGTATGCAACCATGACATGCTCTGGCACCTCGTCAATTAGCCAAAATTAGCAGTGGTGAAATACGCAAAGCTTACACAGACAATAGCAGGATTCTGGCCACTATTCCTTTCATAAATACATAGTTCACTTCCTTATATGCACAGAGTGAAATTTTAGGGCTCCAGATACATATATGCAATACTATATGGATCGGTCCCACTGCCCTCACAGGTGCATTTATTTGGTGGGGACATGAGGCCTTCTCTGTTGCTGCTCCCAGACTCTGGAACTCCCTCCCACAGGAGGCCATGCTGGCCATATCTTTGCTGTCTTTCCACAAACATTTCACACCCCTCAAAGTGCTAGGAAACTCCTTTGGAACTCATACCTACACCAAGGTATAAAATCTGTACTTTGAGCACTCATGGTCTTCTTGCATTCTGCCATTCCCAAAGTAGACAGTAAAAAATTTTGGTTGTTAGAACTCCCAGAATGTAGACCCCTTTGCCAAAGAGACTATGCAGATGTAAAATTTTCTCACATTTTCACCACTCTTAAGAGACCAGAGATTAGATCACATATTGGAGCGGGGGGGGGAGCCCTCCAAACAACGTAAATTTTTCTGTGATTCCTTCCTGAGACCTCAGATGTGCAGAGAAATAGTTTGTCCCCAATTGTCCAATGTATAATAACAACCAAATGCAATCTGAGTTGCCAATTATGGTTTGAGACAAGCTTTTGCTTTAAAATCGACATATGACCTTTCTTTCTTAAAGAGGCACTGAGCTAGATATGGAATTACCATAGGTGTTTCCTTAAGCTTACAGACTCTTTTTGCAAAAATGCTTCCCTTGACTCATCCCTGACATTTTTCTTTAAAAAGTTTTCCATTTTCTGTACCAGCCCCAATGCAAATCAGGGTGAGCTTTTGAAATCAAAGTTTGAAATGAAGCTGTGAAGTTTCTAGTTAAAAGATAACCAAGTTATTCCTCCCAACCATGATGTAGTGTTAAACAGATTGACCACGGTTAAATCTTAATATTCATAGGTGAATAGGAGAAAAGGATCTCAAAACACTTCTGAT